CAAAAGTACTTAAGCTCCCAGTACATCTTCATTTCATTTCATTTTCTCCTCTGTTTCTTTGGCTTAAAAAAAAAACACCTCCTACAATGTGTGATTAGATTTCCCATTTCCAGTGCTTATTTAAAATGCACCTTGGCTCCAGAAGGAAATCAATATTTACAGTACATTAGTGCCACTGAGAATTTGAAGCCTTGTGATTAGAGATCATTGCTGTTTTATCCAGTCTTCAAAGGAACCTTAGACATCAAATACAATCACAGATCATCCGGGACTTTGTGACACTCCATCGGGTCTACCCAAATCCTAATGTGGTGTTTTAATTATGTTAAACCTTTTAATTTTTTTAAAAAGGAGTATAATTCTGAAATATATAACCAGAAATTATATCCATTAAAGAATGTTTATTATTCATGTTCTTATTGTTGTGTAGTATCTACATAATGCATCTACAGTGAGAGCCAGTTTGGTATAATGGCTATGGCCTGAGGCTAGAAATCGGGAGTCTGTGAGTTCTAATTCCCCCTCAGGCAGAAAGCCAGCTGGGTGACCTTGGGCCAGTCCCTCTCTCTCAGCCCTAGGAAGCAGGCAATGGCAAACCACTTCCAAAATCATGCCAAGAAAACTGCAGGGACTTGTCCAGGCAGTCACCAGGAGCAAATACTGATTTGAAGGAACCAAAAAATAAATAAAATAAAATAAAATAAAAAATCAACATCATAATTCCTGTTTAGGAGGAATTACAGGAGTGATTGGGTAAGGGGAAAAAGGAAGAATGATTTATTAATGATCTGTAACTAAAATTCAATAATATAATCCAGTTCTGGTAGAGAAGGGTTATTGAGTCATTTTGGCTGATAACTGGATATTTGAAAACGTGCTATGTAGGCTCTGTTACAAAAGGATTCTCATGAGCGGGGTTCCCTATTTCCCAAATGATTCCTAGAGATTCCCAGGATGATTCTTGCAAGCAACTGGCACTTCACCTTCTCACCATCCCCTGTAGTCCCACAAGACACTCCCTCCTATCTTCAATATAACTTTTAGGGGGAAGTCCTGTAGTTCCAAACACAGCATTGGCTGTAGCCACCTGCCGTGTGCATTTTCCAAGAATTCCTATTGTGTTCTTCAGTTCCCAGAAGTGCTCTTGAAAAAATGATACTGGAAATTGATTCTTTCTTTCACAACATGTCAGTTCCCTATTCAATTATTAAATGAAAATATTAATTATTTTGATTAAAAATAGGTGGGGTAGCATCAGTGATAAAGAGCGGGTGAGAGAGTATTTTTTATTTGTTGGTCTCTCTGTGTGTATATCTTCTCCCACATTTACTGTAATTCTGGCTTTAAACAAATGTCCTATTATTAATAGTCCCTTTTTAAAAGTGCTGCAGTACATTTCACGAATTAGGCATTCTAATTGATTTTTGTCACAAAACTGTAGATGCCACTTACATTTTAATATAGATTCAGCTTCAGGAAGGAATATAAGCTGGCAGCCGACACACTTTGTGCCATACCTTCTTATTACCCATGTGTGTAAATCTTTTGGGAGAGGGGAGGGACGCTTGAAAAGAAGCAGAAAAGCAGTATTTGTTTCATTATACTTACATCTGTTCTTGAGGAATTTCAAATGAGATTTTGGGAATCATTAGCTAATCAGTGAATGTATTATTACAGGCTTCATTACTTTTGATTTCTTTTTACATGTTATAATTTGGGGTTCCTTTTTTAGGCAGCTAGACTTCCAACAAAAATGTGCCAAGTTACATATTCAAATGTGGGTAGGGATTTGGATTTTTGATCATTTTTATTGCTCTGTTTTTGATGTTCAGAGGTAATTGAACTGGGAAATAGGATGGAGAATTCTGATCAAGAAGTTTCTATAATGTAACAGCTTAGATATTCCACTTCTAAGATTCTAAATCTTACATAATTCTACACATAAAACGACTTGCATATACACAGGAGTCATTTTTTGATGATTATCTGAAGAAAAAAATGGAGTTGGGGTGAATAACAAAAGAAATGCCAACTCAGTATACAATTACGGAGGAGTGTCAGTGGAGCAAAAACAGATTGGAAGTTGGAAATAAAACAGCCAGTATTATTACATTTTAATACAAGCTATGGTGTGGTCACATTTATGATATTCTGTATATTTCTGATTATGTCAAAAAGGATGTTATAGAGCCAAAAAGCCACCCCACCCCAAAAACAACAGTTCAGCTATCCAAGATTTTACAGCATACATCCCCTGCTTTTATCTAAAATGCTTCGGGTTTTTTAATAATTAAAAATAATGACTTTTAAGAGGGAAATAATATTGGTTAAATGCTGGTTATCCAGTGAAATAATTGATAGCACATTAAGCATTCACAAAAATAGACATTCCTTCACACAGCGCATAACAATATTTGCACAGCTTGCGTAGCTTTATGAAAGGATTAGAAAATGCGTCTCTGAGCACATTCCCACATTTGGGGCAATTAATGGTCTGCAAGCCTCATATGGCCCATTAACACTTTTTTATGGACCTTGAATACTAAAGTAATAATAATATAAAAATTACAGTGACCTCCCAGTTTCAGAAGGTTTCAGAGATTGCCTGTATCCAAAGTGTTCAGTTCCATCAGTTGATGGAATCATGCGTTGAAGAACACAGACTTATGGTCTTGGTTTGGTCATGATAATAGTAAAGCTGATTAAAGTGTTTAGAAATCTCAT